AGCTCAAAGGCATCAATTCTCCTTCTATCCTCCTTGGTCATTGTCCAACTCTCTGATGCATAACAGGTGATTGCGAAGACCATGGCCTGTATCGGACGCACCTTAGTCTCCAGAGAGACACCACTGCTCTTCAGCACTATTGTTGTTGTGTTGTAAAATATAATATATTCCCAAATAATTTGGGGGGAAAAGATGTATTTATATGCAGAGAGCAAAAGTTCAAGCAAATGGGGTCAAATGTTAATAGGTGCATCAGAGTAAATGATTCTTTATCCCAATTTGGTTTTTTCTTTTTTTATGGCTTTTACTTTGAAACTGTTTGCAAATAAAAATGTTACTTTAGGAAGAACAGTACACAGCCATTAAAACAAGGATGCAGTGTCTCAAATGTACAATATCATCATATCCACTTAGAAATTTGAAGATTATTTTGACTACCAACCTTTGTCAAATTGTATTTTGCAAATAATAAACACTTCAAATAAGAAGAAAAAGAAATAAAATGTAGTGGCTCACTCACAGCTGTCAAATCAGTTCTGAGTCACTGTAGCCTGCCATCAAGTTTCCAAGGTTTTAAATCCAAAAGATTGCTGTGTTGCTGCTGGTGGATTTGAACTACCAGTGACATGCAGGTCTGGGGTTCGCAGTGTGGCTCACTGCAGACATGCTACCAGAACTTCCTAAAATACAGTGAAAGAGACTAAAACTTACTCTTGTTATTTTCTCTTCATCTTTCCTCTAAGGTTCAAGATTCTGGCGATGTGATTACTGAAGGTAGAATCCGTGTGGTTTTCAGCATCCCCTGTGAACCCAATCTTGAGCCTTTAATACAGAACCAGCATGTGAGTATGTTGTTGTTATGTGACTTCCAGTTGAAACCCACTTGTTACTGACCCTCCAACAGGTTTTCAGATGCAGTAAATTGCACGGGAGGGGTCTACCCCTCTTAGTCTCACACACGGAGCAGCTTGTGGATTGGAACCACAGGCAGGAGGCTGGCAGTGCAGCTCCTTACTTACACGAAGCCCCCAGAGCTCCCTAGATCAATCAATATAAAAATACTGGATGCTTTAATACCTTCTTTGAAAGCATTTTGAGTATTGAATGCTAATTAGATTTTCTCATAGTTGCATCTAGTATTGCTTAAAGATAGTCCTGGATACCGGTGACATTCCATTATTAACTCAGAATGGTTATCTGAATTATATACTTCGCTTTTAGCATCATTTAGCACCATTTCTGGAAATAGACTTAAGTTTTGAAGTGTTTTCTCATTATTCTAGTCAGAGAAGCCTTCTTTTATAATTAGAAGTACCAGATGACCTTCCTGCCAAGGATATTTTTCTTCCAACAGCCAGAGATGAATAATCACCACCCGAGAAAAAAGAGTGGCTACATTTAAGTACTTAGTGCCTTTTTTCCCCAGAACCTTTTTTCAAGAAAAGTATTCTATCCCTTCCTTTTGTTTATCCCTGTATTGGAGGTTATAATCTCTGTGGCATTTGCATATTAATTTGGCTGAAATTGACTCACAAGCAACCAGCTATTGCTACTTAAGCCTTTATTTTTGTTAAAGCATTTAAATCATTGGATATCGGCACACACATGAAGAAACTTAATGGAAGGCAAAGGAGAACCTCAAATCTTACCATCAGGTTTCTGGAGAAAGAATTCAGAAAGGACCGAGAAAGATGGCAGAGTGGCCATTTAGACTGAGAAGGTGGAGCTTCATTTTGGGAGGCAATGAAAGTGGAAGAGCTTGTGCGTTTTCCTTCCTGACTTTTCTAGATCTAGAGTCAGCTCCCTCTAGCTTAAAGTGGTGATTGGCATGCATTCTCTACTATCCTTTCTTTCCTGGTGCCTGTCTGCCTTTATTTTTAGCTCAAAGCTTCTTTCTCAGTCCCAACTTTGTAAGATAGTTATATTTTCTAGAATATTTGTGACTATTTTAGTTGGTTTTTAATTATACCACAGCCCAGCATTTCTCAGTAGGAGTACCATTTGTATTTGAGCAGGACTATCTATTAGGACTCTCTAACATAAGGCAGGACATTGGCATCCTTGGGCCCTAGGCACTCAGTACCAGTAGCCATGCCAATTATTGTACCCACATGTGCCACTTAATATTTCCATGGCTCCATGTGCTTCTTTTAAAAAAGTATGCTTCATTTGGAAACAACTTACATATCTGTTAAATAAATCACAAAACAGCACTAACTCATTCTTTACCAATTCACATATATTAATGGTGAATTTATATAACATGGTACCACAAAAATTAATTCTTCATTTTGGTCATTATAAATGTGATCAGGGAGTCCTAATGCCTTAGGTATTGGGTACTAGGCAGCTAACCAGACCCGCAGCAGTTCAAATCCACTAGCCACAACTCAGGAGGAAAATTAGCAGTCCTCTTTCATAAGGGCTTGGAGCCTCAGAAACCCAGTGGAGCATCAGTATGAGTCTAAAACTTCTTGACAGTAGTGGGTATAGACATGCTCCAAATATCACTCATTTAATTGTTTACCAGGTTTTAGAAATTGGTTAGAAAATTCCCTCACACTCATATAAAATGTACACGGTGTTATGTATTGTTAACTGTATAGCTTACTCTGATTGGTACAAGAGCATCAAGTGACAGACAACTGGATTTGTGAGACATTAATGTGCTTTCTGACAAAAAAGAGATATAATCTGATAATTTATTTTTAATTTGAAAAATTCAAAAATCTTTATGGCCTCGTCCTTAAAAGTATAAATTATAGTTATATTTCACTGTATTATTATAAACCTATTCATGTTAATTTCATATTAAATATTACCAGAAATTAATATTGTGCTCCTAAGAAAAGAACTCCCCTAACTTTCCTTAAGTGAAACAATATGCTTTTGTTTTAATTCAGTATAATATTTTCTGAGACCTCATCATGTACCTTTTTATACTCTGCTGCAAGTGTGAAAATTAGTAAAAAGAAAAGAAAATTTACCTCTTCCCTGTGGAGTTTGCTATTTATTAAAAGTTACTTTCTTGAGAAAGTTTCTTAAATTATCTATAATTCCTCTTCCTCCTTCCCCTCCTTGGGAATTCTTTGAAAGAGAGGGAGGAACACAAAATGTGTACATACACATCCTTTTTAAAAGACAGGGAAATTAATTATGTATTTTTGAGAATCCTTCCTTGCATTGCCCTCGCCCAGTGGTTAGTAATGTGTTTATTGTCACCACATTTTGTGGTTTAAAAAAAATAACATTTAGTGTCTTTATTTTTCCTTAATTGACCTTTTTGTTTTTATATTTAAAGAAATATTCTATAAAGTACAACCCAGGATATGTGTTGGCCAGTCGCCTTGGAGTGAGTGGATACCTTGTTTCAAGGTTTACAGGAAGTATTTTTATTGGAAGAGGATCTAGGAGAAAGTAAGTTTACACTAGAGAAATTTACTTAAAATGACAGCAAAATTAAGTGCTACAGATAAAATGGTTAATGTGTCTATATGTTCTCTTCATAATTGCTTGGAATTATCTTTTAAAACTCCATAAATTTCTCTGAGGGTGATCTTTTATCTGAATAGCAAGTATTTTAGATGGTTGGAAATAAATTCGTTTTAATAGCTAAGAAATTGAACCTTGAAAAAAGGTATCAGAGAGTGTGTGTGAATCTTGATAACATATTTCCTTGCATTTTATTATTTTTTTGTTCCTCTAATTACATTAATGATTTATCTATGTTTTGTAAACTTAGATTTTGAAAACTTTCCTTTAGTGTTTCAGTTAGTGTTGCTTTGTAAATATGTAACATCTAAAATACAAAACAATTAAAACCAAGCTTTTCTAAGGTTTTAAAGCAAAACTTCTTACCACTTGAACAAAAATTTAAAAACTTCTCTGTGTGTATGTGTGGTTTAAATTCAGCCCTCACGGAGACCATAAAGCAAATGTGGGTTTAAATCTCAAATTCAACAAAAAAAATGAAGAAGTGCCTGGATACACCAAGAAAGTGGGAACTGAGTGGATGTATTCGTCCGCGGCGGAGCAGCTCCTTGCAGAGTACTTAGAGAGGTAAGCGCCTTCAGGGGTCCCAGCGATTTTCCTAAACACGGGGAGATAGGGACTTTCTTTTGCCTTATGTAGCACTTATGGACGACATCATTGGACTTGAGCTTGGCAGAGAGCGTGAGGAAGACAGGGTTTCTACCTGATATTCATAGAGTTTCTATAGATTGTGTTGTTGTGTATCATCGAGTCCAGAACCAACTTCTAGTCGACCCTGTGCCACATGAGTGGCGAGAGAACTGGTATGACCAGACAAAACCGCAGTCTGGCATAGTGGGTTTTCCCCTGGCTTACAATCCCAGCTGGAGAGGATGTTACTCTTAAAGAATTACTGGTTTTTATTGCTGATATGGTTTAAGAAGTCACCAAATCTTATTAAAAAAATGAGAAAGCAGAGTATCGAGTTCATGGAATTACTCAGTGGTGAAGTTTTAAAGAAAGTGTGTATACTTCTGATTCACCATTGAATGATCTTTATGTTATTCTGTTGGTTTCTAACCTTGTTATATTTGTGGATCTGTTGTTGTTGTTGTTGTTGTAGTTGTTAATGTGCCACTGAGTTGCCTGAGACACCTAAAACCCTGTGTACAGCAGCTCTGAAGCCTACCCTGTCCTGAGCCAGTCTGACTAATTCCAACACACCAACCCCCATTGCCTCAGTCACTGTGTCAATCCATCCATCTGGGGTTTTCCTCTCCAATGCTGTCCCTCCAGCCTTCCAAGCATGATGTCATTCTCCAAGGACCTCCTGGCCACATGCTCAAAGTATGTGAGCCAGAGTCTCAAAATCCTAGCCTCCAAGGAGAAACTTAGTTGCACCCTCCTCAATACAGACCTACTTGTTTTCTTGCCAGTCCATGATATTCTCAAGACTCTCCTCAAGCACCACGATTTGAAGACATCGATTCTTCTGTCATACTTCCTAAAAATTTAACTGTTTCTTCTGTACATTTTCCTTTCTCTAAAATACATACTTAACTTACTTTTTCCAGATTTTTCACGTCTGTATGTCTCTTGATTTGCTACTCTTGAATAAAAAAGAAACTATACTTACCTCTACAATTTACTAACCCTCTTACCTATAAACATGTTATTTCTCCTCTTCATTCTTTCACTTTAGTTTTATCACAGTTTTTGACTGAATTCATATTTAAAACTGACTTTATCATGTTGTTAAGATCCATATTCAATATGGAAAATCCAGCAATTAGGAAATCAGGAAAAGTCTGTAGAAAAAAGTCTGAAACAAAAAAATCACTGGTAAAGTCTGTAGTCAGGGATCTCTGCAGATTATTGAGGAGTAGAGATACTAGTTAGAGGAATGATGTGCATGTGATTTAGGGCATGATCTTTCCAGTCACTTGCTATGCATCTGAGAGCTGGACAGTGAATAAGGGTGACAGCAGAAGAACTGATGCCTTTGAGCTGTGGTATTGGAGAAGAGAATATCCCAAAAGAACAAACAAATATATCTTGGAGAAAGTGCAGCCTTAGAGACAAAGATGATAAAATTTTGTCTCACATATTGCAGATGTGTTTGCTAGGAGAGGCTGTTCTTTGCAGAGAAACATGCTTGGAGAGTTGAAAGGTCAGCAAAGAGTAGCACAGTGACTGCTGCTGCAAGGGGCTCTTGTGTGTCAGGAAGTGTGATAATGGTACAAGATAGGACAGGATCTTTTGTTCATAGGGTCACTATGGGTCGTACTTGACTGAATGGCACCTAATAACAGCTAACCACGGCCACTCCTGAATCAAGCTCAAATATTATGTATTGTTCCAACTACTAACTGTGGAACAGACCACGAATTTCTCACATGCAAGTTCAAATTGAAGCTGCATAAAATTAAAAGAAGTCCACAGAAACCAAAATAAGAACCTGCGTTCATTTAAAAAAAAATCATCTTAAAAATAGGTTTGAAGCATTGAACACCAATGATCAAAGACCAAATGAGTTATGGAATGACATAAGGATATCATTCATGAAGAGAGCAGAAGGTCACTACAAAAACAAAAAAAAACAAAATGCCTGTCAGAAGACACCTGAAATTGCCATAGTGTCAAGATGCCAAAATGAGAAGAGATGCTGAAATAAAAAAAAACTGAACAGACAATTTCAAAAGGTACTCAAAAAGTCAAAAACAAACTGCTATAACAATGTGGGGAATGAAAAGGAAGAACTTAACATTTCTCAAGCTGAAAGAACTGAAAATCAAATTCAAAGCTCGAGTTGCAGTACTTACGGATGCTATGGGCAAAATTTTGAATGATCGAGGAATCATCAAAAGAAGATGAAAGTAATATACAGAATCACTACACCAAAAAGAATTGGCTGATACTGAAATATTTTAGGAAGTACCATATACTCAAGAGCCAATGGTAATGAAGAAAGACAGAAGGCATTACCAAAAAGTAAGGCCCCAGGAATCAATGACCAGTTGACATGTTTGAAATGACAAATCAGCCCTGGATTTGATGATCCAACAGAATGTGGAAATTATCAAATAATATCATGTTGTTGTTGTTATATGCCGTTGAGTTGCTAGCAACTTGTAGCGACCCTAAGTACAAAAACCCTAAACCCTGCTCTATCCTGTGCCAATCTTATTGTCTTTGACACACCTGCTCCCCTTACGCCAGTCACCGAATCCATCTCATCAAGGGTCTTTCTCTCTTGCTCTGTTCCACCACACTCCCAAACGTGACATCCCTTTCCAAAGACTAGTCCCTCCTTGTAACATATCCAAGTATGTCAGACGAAGCTGCAGAATCCTTGCCTCCAAAAAGCAGCCTGGTTTCACTCTCTCTAGGACAAACCTGTTTCTTCCCCTAGCCATCCATGGTATATTCAGTACTCATCTCCAGCACCACAGTTCAAAGGCATCATTTCTCCTATCATCCCTAGTCATTGTCCAGCTTTCTAATGTATAGTAAGTAACTGCAAAGACCATCGCCTGAATCAGGCACACCTTGGTCTCCAGACTGATGTCATTGCTCTTCAGTACTTTAGAGAGGTTTCTGACAGCCAACTTTCCCAATGCAATTTTTCTTTTCATTTCCTGACTGCTGGTACCAAGAGTCTTGATTGTGGAGCCAGGCAAACGTAAAGTGTTAATAATCTTAATCTCTTCACCATCTATCATGATGCTGCCAATTGGTCCAGTGGTGAGAATCTTTTTTTTCTTTTTTTTTTATTTTATTAATTTTAGTGAACATTTACAGAGATTTTGGATTTCCATTCATTCATTGTTGCACTATGAGAATCTTTGTTTTCTTGATGTTGCGCTTCAATCCATGTTGAAGGCCACAGTCCTTGACCTTAAGCGCTTCAGGTCCTCAGTTTCAGCAAGCAGGGTTGTGTCATCTGCATAATGCAGATTATAGATGAGTCTTTCTCCAATCCTGATACCACATTGTTCCTTTTGAGCCCAGACTCCAGGATAATCTGTTCTGCATACAGTTTGAAAAGGCATGGAGATAGGACACATCCTTGGCATACACCCTTCCCAGTTTTGAACCATGCACTGTTTCCTTGCTCTATTATGACAACTGCCTCCTGGTCCAAGTAAAGATTTCGCATAAGCACTGTCTAGAGATCTAAATTCCCATTCTTCTCCGTTAGTCACAGCTTGTTGTGATCCACACAGTCAAATGCCTTTGCATAGTCAATGAAATACAGATAGACATTTCTCTGGTACTCTCTGCTTTCTGCCAAGATCCATGTAACATTAGCTATAATATCCCTAGTACCACAGCCTATTCTAAACCCAACCTGCACTTCTGGCAGCTTTCTGTTGATTTGCTGTTCTGGTTCTTTTTGGATAGTTTTCAGCAGAATATTGCTTCCATGTGATATAATGATACTTTCTTCGGAATGGCAACAAATATAGATTTCTTCCAGTCAGTTAGCCATGTGGTTGTCTTCCAGACTTATTGGCACAACTTAGCACATTCAAGGCAGCATCCGTTTGTTGAAATATGTCTGTCAATTGGTATGCTTTCAATTCCTGGGGTCTTGTTCTTTTCCAATTCTTCCAGAAGCCTGCAGGCTTGAGGAGGGAGAATCAATAATACCATATTTAAACAAAATACTTCTGAACATCATTTAAAAACACCTCCATTGTATTTTACCCCCTACCTTTTACGGACTGGCTTTTTCAGTCTTGAAACTGACTTCTATTCTGAGAAAAGTTCTGGTGTTACCACCTAGATAAATTTCTTCCTCACTACTTTCTCATCTTCCTGAGATTCTTATAATTTAAAAAGCTAAGCAGTCCTTAATTTACAGCAACATTGCATTCTGATGCATGAATTCATTGTAAGTCACTTCTTACATAAGTTGAATACCTTTGGAAAGGGTGAGTTTTCATTGTAAACTGCCTTTTGAAAATTAGAAAGTGAGCCTATAAATTGTTATTGTTGTCCTTTTATCTTCATTGTGATCAAAGCATGAAATTGAAGCTTTTATGGAACATGCTCTCCCTCAGCCTGGAGGAGTGTCTGGAGGTATCGGCATTCGGATTGCATTAAACATATAGATTGCTTTTGGTAGGATTGTCATTTTCACTATTTGAGACTTCTTGTCCATGAACAGGAAACATTTTTCCATTTTTTAGGTCTATTATTGTTTCTTGCAGTAGTGTTTTGTACTTTTCTTTACAAAGGACTTTGGTGTCTCTAGTTAGGCTGGATGAAATGAACTGACAGAGTAACTGGGGTAACAGGTAGGTGTGTCAGAGACAAGGATCCTGGCTCAGCATAGAGCAGGGTTCAGAGCTATTGTACATAGGGTTGCTATGAGTCGCAGTCAACTTGACAGCACGTAACAACAGTTCTAAATAGTCTTGCTTTCTTGTTTCCTTATCTGTATTTTCTTTATTTCTGTAGAGGAATCCCACTTGATTTTGTATATTGATCTTGTATCTTGCTACTCTACTAAATTGATCTACTAGATCTAACAGGTTTTTTCTGAGTCTTGGAGTTTACTGTGTGTGCACTATCATATTATTTGCTATAGTGACAATTTTACCACCTCTTTGCCAATTTGGATGCCTCTTAATTCTTTTTTTGTTATATTGTCCTTGCAAATATTTCAAATACACTATTGAATAGGAGTGGTGAAAGTGAGCACCCTTGTCTGGTGCCATTTCACAAGAGGAATGCCTTTAGTCTTTCTACATTAAGAATAATGTTGACTTTTGGTTTGGGTTATATACTTTTCACTACATTGAGGAAATTTCTGTCTATTCCTATTTTGTTTAGTCTTTTAACAAAAACGGGTATTAGGTATTGTTAAAAGGCCTTTTCTGCATCAGTTGATAAGATCATATAGTTCTTGTGCTTTACTTTATTAATATGATCAATTACCTTGATTATTTTTCTTATGTTGAACCATCCTATTATGAATCCCACCTGGTCATGATAAATTATTATTTTTTTATTATTTATTTTA